CAGGGGGTTGGAACTGGATGGGCTTTAAGGTCTCTTCCAACCCAAACTATTCAGCAATTCCATAAAATTAATTCATTACTTAAAAATATGTATATGTTACATTAGAATAAAATATTAAAACTGTTAGAATAAAATATTGGAGATTCTTTGGTTACAAAACTGGAAAAAAAGCTTTATAAGCTGCACAGTCCAGTTCATGGTTTATTGGTATTTCTTGGCAATATTACTTTTGTCCAGTTTGGTCTTGTATTGGTAATGGCACTAATTAGTTCATGCTAGTTATTGTATTATTTACATCCCAAACCAAAATCAAAAATACCTGGTTTTCATTAGAACTTTGTAGTTGAAATGTTGTCTATTCAAACACTTTTCTACACACTTAGGCCCAGTCTTCGTTCTTTTACTTCCATTCCCTCTTCCAGTATTGATTTTTTTAAAAAAAAAAAAAATTTAAAATAAAACCTGTCCCTCAATACTGATTATATTGTTTGTGACAATTATTTTGAAGACTAGTACTGCATTTTTGCTTTTCCCAGTTGGTTATTAAATTGTGCTGCTAGCCTGAAAAATGTCTCCAAACAGTACCTAATTTCTTGACCAAAGTAGGTTTTACTTGACTTTCTTTTTTTGACATCCAGTAAAAGTGGAATGGTTTGGTTTATTGCCTGGTCTGCGGAGCACTAATAGTTGTAAATAAAGCAATACCAGAGTCTAATTCTGGGAATGTCATACGCACCCTAACCATTATTGTTCCTGGGTGAAGGTGAGGTGGTTTATAAGAATATGTGTGTGAAGTGGGGGAAGACAGTGAGCAGTGGTTATGAAATGTAAAATTAAAAAATATTTTTTGAACTTGTTTTCTCTTCTCTTTCAGTTAAAGGATTAAATGTAAACAAGTAAAGTATTGATATTTAGTATTACTTAAAAGTTGTCAAATACAAGAAATAAGGGAAGTTAGGGGCTATGTGTATTGATTATCACAGCAAATATTTCTTCATAGGTGTAGTAGTATGTTGTTTTTACAAAATTACATGTGATTTTTGAATGACTTAATCTCTTAGCCTAGTTATGATCTTTTTAGATTAATCTGTCAGCTTTCTGTTTCTGGTCACAGGAGCGTTTTTTAGTTGCCGTGTAGTGTGCAGCTATTATGAAGAATTTTATATGCTCAGCTGTCTTACATGTAAATTGATACTGTAAGTAGTAAGTTTGGATGCTTAACTACAGAGAAATGACAGGTGTATTCTTCACAAATATCAGTGTAAATCTGGGAATCTAAAGAATAACATTGATCTGTTAAAATATTGTTGTATTTTTAACAAGATGAATTACCAAACAAGGAAATAGAAGTACCTTCATTTTATCACTTACTATTAATTGCAAAAAAAAAAAAACACCACACACCAGCAAAGGGGTTACCTGCTTAGTGTCTCCTGAAGAATGTTCCTGACTTACACAGGAACTTTAAAGAAATCCTTTCTCTTCAGTCAACAAACATGTATTACGCAAATAGTTTTCTTTTAACTTGTGAAACTAAGCATGCTGCCCACATGCTGACTTTTAATAGATGATCAGGAATTTTATTGGCCAGGCTGAAGTATTAGATAGCCTCTTAGCAGGTCGTGTAGAGAGGATGGATGGAATACTTCGGAACTTTCAGGCATTACAGTTCTGATATGCTTTTGTAGTGGTGCATCCAAAAAAAAAAAAAAAGTTGAGCAAAAAGTTACTATAATTATCTCCTGTACAAGAAAAACCTTTAAATAAGTTGATTTTTAGAAGTCAAAAAAACCCCAAAACCCACCCAGAAACCAACCACCACCAAACTACAAAATTAATCACAAGGCGACGTCAATGATAATGTGATCCCTAGCCCAGTATCTAGATACGGTGCTTCTGTACGGGTTGGAGAATAGACTGTGCAATAGTGATCATATAGTTCTACTTGCTGGATTGGGCCCGTTACAAATAAGTAGCAAAATTTAGATGCAGAATCTGACGTGCTTTTTTTCCCAAAAAAAATTTTTTTTACAGTTTATTCTTAAATTACTAACAAATTTTATTTCTGCATGGTGCTCAAAATTAACTTCTGCCATTCTTTTCCATTACGGATGCATCCTAGCTACTTCTATAGGAGAGACAAGGCTTCTGTAGTAGTATTTCCCATAGAACTCTTGAATCGGTGATTTGGGTTTTTTTAATCACGTGTAGTTTACTTTTTGCTGATACTCGTCCCATCTTTAGGTACATAAATTGACATAAAGCATGGCTAATCTGAAGATTTCATCTTTGGGACTGGCAGCTTCTGGTGAATGTAGAGTTGAGACAAACATGTTAGTCCGTGGAAGTTTACCTTTAACCTTTGTATTTTTATTAACGGAAAACTAATATCTAGTAGTTTATGTTTAGATACTATTTTCCTAAAGGAATTAATAAATTTTTTAAGCTATTTAGTCAAAATCAGTTCATCTACAAAGTAATTTTGAAGTATATTTGTATGCTGTATAAGTAAAACATCTGGGGAAGACTTTGATGGCATTCTAGAATATTTGGGAAGAGACATTATTTAGCATCACTCTAGCGTAGGGTGTCCTGACTGAACAAATTACATGATCTTTAGGTAACGCATATTTATGTTTCCTGTAGTTAAAAGCTGTCAACATCTGTATAAAATGGCTTCTTTGTGATATAGGAAGAGTTTTACTCTTTCTGGCTTTTACTTAGATTTTTTGCATTGGAAATTAAGAGTATTGTGTAGGGTGGAAGACAGGAACTGAAGTACTTGTGAAATGGTGCTAGCAAGTGAAAGCTTAGTCATCTGAGTGGAATAGCTATTTTTAACTGTTTGAAAATGTTTCTTTAGTAATGTACTGAATTTCAGATTAATATTTCAAATTGAGAGAGTGCTAAAGATCTAACCTTTAGCCCTTTAGATGAGGGTGTTGAGTACCCATGATTCCATTAATTGACCTACTGAACTTCTAGCAAACCAAGAAGCAAGAGACTACGCATTTCTGAAAAGTTGTATTGGTAGATATTTGTATGTTTTGAATAGAAAAAATTGATTTAGAAAACAATGCTGTTTAAACAGTGCATTTCTTAAAATTAAGCTAATAATGCTGACCATTTTTAAATTCTGATTTGTAGGCATGCTGTGGAACTGCATGAACATGCATGTTGATCAAGCATAATCCAGAAAAATTATGTTTTGAAAGACAAAGTGTCTTGCTCTGTCACAGTAAAGAAATAAGCATAGTTAAATACTTAAAATGCTTTGAATTTTTCGTTAAAAACACTTCACTTACTGTGATCATTCATCATGTATTGTAAGCAGGCCCATCTGCACTTCAGAAGGTCATTGTAATCAGTAGTTTGTGGCCAATTCCTTATAAAGCAAAACCATCAATTTCAGTCACATGAACCTGATTTGTGATTCTTGTAAGATCACTCCTTATGGCATACATAAAAAATCCTGATTTCACCTGCACCTTTGGCTGTCTTTGTCAGAGATGCAGAAATAGGAACCAACTCAAGCCTGTAGTTAAGAAATAGATCAGTCATCCCACCTCTCAACTCATGCTTAGCGAGAGAAAAGCCAGAGATCGTGTGGCAATACTCAGTAGATACAAAGTTTTCCAAAGCTGAATCACATAGAGGCAATCCATATCCAACACAGGACTGCTGGGATGGGTCTACTGACTATTTACGCTATTACATTAGGCAAAGCAACATACAAAGGAATGTGTGTGCTTAGTGTCAGGATGTAACAAACACGGTTACAATGAGCACATACTTGCATACTTTGAGTGATGTGTCATGAGTTTGGTACGAAGAGTTGAATATCCTGCCACTGAGAAATGAAGCACATTGCTATTACTTTTTAGGACATTCAGGATGATATTTACTGAATATTCTGTTCACTGCTGGTTGCTGGTTTTGAATCAGTGGGTGTATGGAGGCAAGGTATTTGTGTAGTTACACTTTTAATCTGTGCTGCATATATTTTATATTAGTACTATTAATCATATATATTTCTTCAGCACCGGTAAAGAACCCACTCAAATGCTTTAAGAGTACATTCAGCATCATTTAGACATCATCAAGATGTGCCTCAATAGAAATCTGTGAAATCATAAAGGGCTCAAAATATGTATTCTTTAGGAGTGCAATTTTAAACCCCTCCATTTTGTACAGGGATTTCTTAATGTAAAGATTATGTTTTTATCAGTACTTAACAGAACTATTTTGTTTATTTGCTTTCTTAACAGTTGATTGTAGTAATAGTGGGAAAAATACAGGAACTTGTGAGAACAGGCTTAATGGTCATATTTGCAGAACTAAGTACAGAATCCATAGTCTGTGTACAGGGGTGTTTTTTAAAATTCCTGTCTTCAACCCAGAACAGAGACTCTGTTCTTTAGTAGCTAGGCTTTGAAACAGCACCTTTTTACTTTATAATTTAAGAGTATCTGAAGTGATGCCAAAAACAAGTATCACTGGATTCACTGTGGAGAAAGCCGAGTGGTTGGAGCATTATACTTGGGCATCAGTGCATCACAGTCATCTGTTGCTTTGCCTCTGTGATATCAGCAGACTATTTAGTTTCTCTGTTTTCAGATCAGATTAGTTAAACTTTGATAGCTCACAGTATTATGGGAAGAAATACATTTAGGATTGCAGAGCACCGTGTTGTGTCGGATGTCAGTCTGATAACCATACTGAACATAAATAAAGACACCGGAAAAGATCATTTGTGAAAGTTGTAATGGATTTGCCAAAAATATTTCTAATGGAATTAATGTTTCTGATATGTACGAACTGTGTAGTCTTACTTTTGGGACGATTACTACATCTGTTATGTAAAATAAACAACATTAGGAAGTGGCCTTGTGGTCCTGTTCCTTCTTAGTTCCAGTACTTAGTGGATTCAGGGAGGAGGGAGGGTTAGTGCACTATAGAGAAACCCTAAATAATCCAATAGTCCTTCAGTTAGGCATGAGGTCTTTCTTTTAAAATTTGCTGATTATTCCTGAGAATCTACTGTCTTGAAAGTGTTTCCAAAGTGCACCATAAAGTCCTGTGCAGCAGCTTGGCTGCTGGGCTGACAGGAATTCTTCTGTTTGTCTTACAGGTGAGCCACCGATGGAAAACTGAGAGTGCGTTAATTTCTACAATGTTAACATTCACATTAATTAATGTAACTTGAAATGTAAAATGCTGTGTATGAAAATTTACTGAAAAATAGCCAAGGATGTGTTTTATTTTACCTGCTGAGTTGCAATATTTGGTACAATTCAGGGCAATTGAATGCATTCGTTCTGAATCTGAGATGGCAAGTGAGTTATGATCTGGGTTTTTTGAATTTATCTGCAGGTTTTCTGCTGGTTTGTTTTTGGCTTTTGTTTTAAGGTGGTCAACAGGGCGGCTAGATTGAGAATTACATTTTCAAGGTACTCTGACAAAATCTGAAACCTTAGATTTCTAAGTTAAAAAAAAGTTGATTGTCTTTTTTTCTACTGATGAAATGAAGTGTCAGTGGAAGAACCTGCAATAATCTAATCTGGTATTCAATGGAGAAATCTGTTGCAGTAGAAAATGGATTCTCTGTAGAACTGTACCACACAGCATAAATTAAACTTAAGTTCTCTGCAGTACCTTGATGAAAAGCTTTGTTAAAGTTGCAGTTTTGAAAGGAGGAAGAGCAGGTTATTAGGCAAGAATGGGTGGGCATTCCAGATACTCTGGACCCTTGTGGAAAAAAATGAGAAGACAAAAACAGAAGGAAGATACGATGAAGATTCATTCAGGAACTTGTAAACAAGTTGCAAGAATTGAGATGGACAGAAATCTGTGTCATAAAAGCAAAACTGGAAAATATTCAAGCTGCTGTTGTACAGCTTTGAAAGTGAGGACAAGGATCTGAAGTTTGATGTGAGAAAAGAGGAGGGAATAAATGAGGTTTAGAAGAGGAGTGCAGTCACATTTTCCCAAACAGCAGATGGTCTCGGTCATGTCTAATAGGATGTGAAAATATTCCTACTGAAATGTTTTGTTGACTTCATGTGCTAAACCTTCTAGAAATTCAACCATTTCTTAATAGTTGTAAAAATAATTCTTCCTAGTGAAAAGTTTACTTCCAGGCTTATAGCAGATTTTAGGATAACTCAATCTGTAAAGAATGTAACATTTGTATCCCCCCCAGGTTTTGGACACAGAAGAACAAAAATCATCTAACAGTCTGAATTGCTTTTCCACTACTGAGCAAGTAAGTTCTACTGAAGAAGAAGAGTCTCCAAATGTCAGAAAGAAGACTAAAATGGACCGAAAACCACGGAACAGTTTAACAGCCAAAGAATCAATTTCTACAGACAGTATGAATTCACATTCACACAGAAGTACACCAGATACTGCAGCATACACAGATGACAGTAGAACAGCAGACACAGAGAGTGAGCCAGAAGAAGGTGAAATCACAGATTCGGAGTGCGAAGCCTACAGCAGTGAGGATGAAGTAACAAGTGAAGAAATTGCTGATTCAGAAGACTCAGAAGATGAAGGTGAATTATTGTGGCTTTTATGTAGTGCTATATGTTTTAGTATTTGTTTCCTTCTCGTGACTTGCACAGTAGCTGGAAGTAAGTAGTGGTGCTTTTGTAAAAGCAGTTTAGGGTTATAACTTCCCGTGCTTGTGTAGAACCTCAGTGGTAGAATAAGATTTGTTTAGATTTAGGGAAGTGACAGGATAAATGAAGTCTATTGCCAAAATAGGGGCTCTAGTACAGACCTCACAGTTACTCTGTGTATTAATTCTCTTAAATTAATGCATAGTATTTCTGATACTGTTCATAATCGTGTAATTCAATGTAAGGTGAATGTACTGTGATGTAAAGGATGAAAGTGGAGTACTCAGTACTGTTTGAAATCCTATTTTCTATGTATTCCAGTGGCAACATGTAAGACGTTGGTACTGAACACCATACAGGTTTCCTCTCTGTACCAAAGAAAGTGTTCTCCTAGGCCCATAGACCTCCTCAAGAACTGAATGGTCTCTTGCAAAAACACCAAAAAGTCACCTATAAAACCCTTAATACAACTAATTGGAACTACGTATATACAAAGAATATTAAATCACAGAATGAAATACAAGCTGTAAAAGTCTGTACTACAGCCTGTGCCCTGCTCACAGTTAAATAGTCAGTTTGTTTCTTCTGTTTTCAATACTTTACTCAGATTCTGAGTGATTAATGCCATTCAAAACGTGCTTGCTACCATCAGGCTTCCAGATTAAATTTCCCTTACTATTTTCCAATAATGCAGTAATGCTGGAGTAATAAAAACTGGAGAGAGTTCCCTCCTAGTACCTCTCAAGCTAGTGTCTTCCCATCTTAGCTGGGAAAGATGTCAGTTTCTAGCTGGGAAAGATGTCAGTTTGTCGCTGGCAAAGATGTCAGTTTCTAGCTGGGATGCTTGGAGACTGTTAATGCAAACGTACATCCAAGAACAGAATTCTTACAGCTGTTAAAACACAATTACTTAACATTTTTGAGGCCAAAAAAAAGCATATTCATCTGTAGGCTCATCTATTATTTTTTCTTAAAGTTCTAGATGCATTAGGTTTGTGATGCAGTGAACAAAATGGTGATGCCTTTTCTCAAAGTAAAACTGTATTCTAATCTGTTACGAGTAGAGGTCTGTAAACTTACAATGTTCTAGTAAATTCTGTGAATGTATTTATACTTTATTACTGTAACTAAACAGTTGTACACATGTTTTATAATAGCCAGAATTAGGAAAACACTTTTAATACTTTAGTGTGTGGTCAGCCTTTGTGGTCTTATCAGAATTTTCTCTCAAATGTGCTTATACCTTTCTTTTGCTGAAAGTTGCATAGGATTCAGCGAAATGATGGCTGAATGTATATCACTTGTTTGAAAGCTGTGGTCTATAGGGGTAAAACTAATTTATTGGTTGTAACATTTGGGTTTTTTTATAACTGTAGATGAAGAAAAGATCTGGCCTCCTTGTATCAGAGTAATTGTAATAAGATCACCAGTTCTACAGATGGGATCACTTTATATTATCACAGCCGTGAAACCTGCTACAATTGGAAGGTAAAACTGAATTGAATTTGTTATATATATCTGAAACAATACCTAACTTTGAAAGCTGTGGAAGCCACTCTTAATGTCTGTCCTCCTAGCGTGCAGCAATCTCAAAGTACTCTGAGTTAGCTTAGCACACAGTAAGGAGTTTGTCATGTTGTATAACGTCATGCCTGCTATGGTGACTGCATATGCAGTTATTGTAGCTCAGCAGTCATAAAAATTTGTTAGTGATAACTTGATCTTATGTCTAACCAGCATAGCTGCAAGTCATTCTTGTAAAACGGGGTTTTTTTTCCTTAAAAATAAGTGAACTTTTTTTTCTGGGCCACCAAGTAACTTTCACAGAAATGGAAGAACACACTTCAGAAATTCAGGATCACAAGAAATTATATCCTGAATTTCCTCACACATTCAAATTCCAATAGGTTTGTTTCATCATTCTTAAATAATTGAATATTAAATACTTGGGTTTTGTACTAGCCTGTATGCATTCTTCTAGTTCTAATATTAAAAAAATATTTTTTTTTGTTCGGTGTGGATGATGAATTAATGCTTTCTTCCATGCTTACTGAAAACCTCACCCCTTTTCAGCTGCTTTTATCTAATGCTGATAGATGTGTTTTGATTTGCTTTTACAGCTGGAGTTTCTAGGTGTGAAGATTAACAGATGACAGTTCTTCTTGCAGTGTGCATATAAGTCCTTTGCTAGCTGCACTGCTTCTTCATCCCTTAGTATAAGAAACTAATACACAAATCCTTTCCTCATACTGCAGTGGTTTTGACCAAAGAAAAAAAAATCTGTGCACGTTACTCCTTCATTGCTTGTATTACCTGCCTGATTCTACCAAGAATTCAACTTCAGCATTGAAGACTGATGCCAAGATGCACTGAAGAGGTTGAAGGATGTAGAGTTCAGACTATTATTTACAAGTCTTGTATAGAAGTTCAGATAGAAATGCCAGGTTTATAGCTAAAAATTTAAAGGCACAGCTTTATCATATATTCATTGCCTACTGTGTATAGTTTATAGATGGAAAAGGGATGTGAAGCAAGTCTTTACATTGTGCATATAGCAACACTGGTTTAAATCTACAAATAGCTCAGAGTAGAAACATGATATTAACGTTCAAATGAAACACACCTTTCGTAAGCCACTTACTAGACCTATTTCTACTTTGTCGTCATTTATGTATCAACTTGCCTTTCCAGAGAAAAAGATGTTGGACACACACTTCAAATTCCTGAAGTTGGAGTCAGTAAGGTAACTTGTTTCTGTCTGCTGAGAGATAGATGGGCATATGAATGAAGCTTTAGATGCTATGGCTTTACGTTCTGAAAAATCTTGTGTTAATTTTTTTGAGCACTTCTAGAAGGACATGTGGGTTTAGCCACATCTTAAGTTAGAAAAAGGATAGTATACAGTATTTTACTGAATGGGAATTTAACATGAACAGCGATGGATTTCAGAGTTTAGAAAAGCTAATTTTTTTTAATTGGAATTTTATTAATCGACAGTGTAACACAGTAAATTAATTATACCTTGAGTCTTGTATTTCTTACATTATTGAACCTGAGGAAGATGTATTCCTCTGTTAACTATTAATGGTATATAAAATATTGATGTCAGCTAGTTAGAACTTTATCATAAAGTATTCCAATCCTTGCAGTTTAGCTGAGAGCAGCAGACTTTTTATTTTTGTTCAAGGCAACTGTATATATACCTGAGTAATGTATAAAGAGTTTGAAAATTTAACAGACTTTCTTTCAGTGACAGATTGTAATGGAATTTTTTTCTTGTGGTTAAGAAATACTGAAGATAATTTATGTGCTCTGTTTTGCTAACTACTTTAACACAGACCACAAATACAACACTCCTAATAAAAGGAAATGTAGATTGACAAAGACATGCCATCCAAACAAACAAAAAAAACCCCAAAAAGTATAAAAGCATCTGCAAATGCAAGTATCTGAAATACCTTTACTATGTCTGTTCCAGATGATAGTTCTGATTAATCAGCCATGTACCATATTTCATACTGAACAATTTCCAGACAAGATCTTTCCCTCCTATTAATGACTTTTTCAGGCGTGTATCTGAAACTGGGTGCATAAAGAAGCCAAAAGGCTTTTATTTTCCTCTAATGTTACCATTTGAATACTTCACAGGAACCTGACTGTTGATATAGTTACTTTAATTGGCAGATAAAAAGAGTAAAAGGTAGGAAAATAAATGACAGAGCTGTAGAAACAGGACATAAACTACCAGTTTGTTTTCCTCACTATTCATAGTTGATAGCAGTGGCCCACTTTGCTTTTTTTGAATGTAAATTGAGATTTTTAAAAAATAACACTACGCCCAGCAGATTCAGAATCTTTAGAAGTAGTTTGGGTTCATCCTACTGAATAAAACAGAGGTAGAAATTAAATTACCTATTGAATGAGCTGGTGAGTCTTTCCACCATTATGAGAGTATTCCTGTTGTAAATGCTAGTCAATCTACAAAACCTTAATTTGATTTTTTTTTTATTACTGAACATAGCAACTGTGGTTAACTGAAACATGAGAAAAGATTTGGTTTTAAAGTAACACTATTTCCAGATTGATTCTTGGGTTTTTTCGCTATAGCAAAAGGGATCTTTGCTTGTCAGATTTGAAACTCACTGGTTTTAGAGTTCTGTTTTTTACTGGGAGTCTCAGTAGGCCACAGAAGTTGATATTTTGGTTTGCTCAGTGCCCATTTCTTGATGTAGTGTATATCTTGAGTTTGTCCAGGAGTTGTGTTTTCTATGTTCTCTGTGAGCTTGGGATCAATACCCGTGTAGAACTGCAACATCAAAACAAACAGAACAATATATTTTTAATCTCAATATTAGAAAGGATATCAAAGGAACAGCAGATGATGGTTAGTTATTGTGTCCTGGGTATTAAGATACAGATAAAGGTGAATTATTTGAAATTTACAAAAGCATGGGATTTAGGGAGTTATTTGAGTTACGAAAGACCAAATAACCCGGGGCTGTAGAATGAGATTAGATATTTTTTTAATTGAAAGAGGAAAAATTGAGAGTACTGTAACATACCTTACAAGAAAAAAAGCCTTTTATTTTTTAGAATAGTTAAAAATGCTACACTGTGGAATTTTGCAGTAGTTAAGTAAAGCATACTTGCCACATTCAAAGTATATACTTTCTCAGTACTGAATCAGTTTATGGTCAAAATAGTGGTATTTATTAATAGTATACTTTAGCTCATGCTGCTGTGGCCAGCATGTGAATTTGCATTTCACATGTATGAAATCATAAGGTGTGGAATACTCAGTTAACTTAGAGTGCCAGAACTACTTAGTTAAAAGGCCCTAAAATATGTCCTGAAATCTTACTTGAAAATAGCATATAAATTGTGAAGTATTTGCTTAATAAGAATGTTTCACTTACACTTCTATTTATCAGTTCCATGCAGAAGTATATTTTGACCACGATTTGCAAAATTACGTTCTTGTGGATCAAGGCAGTCAGAATGGAACAGTTGTTAATGGAAATCAGATTCTCCAGGTGCGTACCTGTTGTTATAACGCTGTGTACATTGCAGAAAACTGTAGTCATGCGGTCATTTTAGATACGTTATGGCAAATCACTAACAATGTCATTATGTGGCTTCTTTCATGTATTAGTGTCTTCCTTGGTTCCCTTCCAGTTTTAGGGCTACTTAAAATAATTCATGTTTGGTTTATATTAGCAAAATCCACTATGGCTGCCGTTGCTAGAGTGAAATACCCTCAGCAGTTAAATACTTGCCTGCATTTGTGAGACCAAACTGAATTACTAAACTATGAGTAGTATTCATGAAATAGCGTTCATGACCTTCATTAGTAAATAATTAACATGGCTGCCAAAACTTATTTTTGTTGTAGCCTAAAATAAAATGTGATCCCTACATCCTGGAGCATGGAGATGAAGTGAAGATTGGTGAAACTGTGCTTTCATTTCATATACACCCTGGCAGCGATACGTGTGATGGATGTGAACCAGGACAAGTCAGAGCACATCTTCGCCTGGACAGAAAAAAGGAACCTTCTGGTTAGTCATGTTATTATGGAATATGCTTTTTATTATAACTCTTTACTTTATAAACAGAAGAATTCTTCTCCAAGTGACAGAGGAGCTGA